CTATGCGAATGTCTCAACGTCAAGTGGAGATAGTGTCTGACAAGATTAAAGAAACGTTCCGTGGTGTGTTGATGAAGGTTACGGATTCAAGCGACTATGAAACCCAGCAGCAGCTTTCTCCGACATACAGCTTTTCAGATGAACTAGCTGAAAATTTTGCTCCACCAGTACGTAAACAACCTGTTACGAACTACATTGCCAATCGAATTGATGGTGAGCTTTCTCGCTGGAGGGACGATCCTGTCGAGCTACGCATTATTGAGGGAAAACAAGAGCCGGTTTTGCACTTTTGGAAACAGATGGAGCAGTCAGGAGAGTATCTTATACTACCGAGAGCAGCCAAACTTCTCTATGCTGTTCCAGCCTCTTCAGCGCACACTTAGCGAGATTGCAGTGTGGCGGGGAGTATGGTAACCTCGCAGCGCACCAGACTGTCCCCGCAAAACATTGACATGGCAACCTTCTTAAACAGGAACAGCAAGCTTGTTGACCCTGCTCAGTGTCAAGCAATTCCTTCAAGCGAGATTGGGGAACATGTACCGGCAAGTATGACATTTCCAATTGAAATCGTACCCGATGAATTTGGAGAAGATTTGATTACCGATCTTTTTGCGAGTACTAGCCTAGATGGGCTGTGACGATTGTATCCTCAGCAGTTCCTAGCCTTGCGAACTCGGCGTGCGACTCGCATTCATCGCCGCGCTAACTGCACAAATAGACACGATAAAACGTTAGTGACGTGCTTCGGTTTTTCATAAATCACTTCTTACCACGTAGTTGATGAGCTCGAGCGCTGTGAGCACGAGCAGCCTCTTCAGCTCTATACTTGACATCACGTTGCGTCCGAGCGATAATTTTGTTTAGTACTATCGATGGTGCCTCTGCACCAGAACGTCTCGACGCACGTGACTTGGTTAGGGCTGCCCGCGTATGCCCTGATCTTTCATGAAGCCGCTCTTCTGCCAGCGCAGCGACTTTCTGGCTAGCCACACCGCTGTGAGTGATTGTGCGAACACTAGTGATAGTCTCTTTAACGAGTCCTCGCAGCAACCCCTCTATCCACTTATAGGAATCACCATCTCGGCTACCATACTGCGGTATTGACAAACGCCCCTCCGCCACTTGTCGATTCTTCAGAGATTCAACGCCGTTCTGCTTGGAACCATCGCGCTCGTTATCACCATCTGTGCTTAATTTGCCCTCTAGTACTGTCAAACGAGCTTCCATTTCCTTCACATTAACGCCCAGGAGCTCGCATTTACGCCCAAAGGCTTCAATGGCTTCATCCTGACGATGTAATGCTGTGTCTAGCCGCTTAGTGGTTTCTACTGCATTAGTGCGCATCACACCCTGCAATTTATTCTCCAGTCGGAGCTCTGACTCTGCCATTTCTCTGTAAATTTCGTGGCGGATACGCTGGTGCGCTGACTCAAGCTGCTCGTCATTTCTCTGCGTATGCTTGACTTGAGCCGACTGAAAGGCCAACCGCATTTTAGCTTCCAAGCTAGTCTCCACATTCGCAGAAGCCATGCTAACACAATGTTTTATTAGCTCATCTTATTTACCGAGTTTTGCTTCTAGGTGTTTATTCTCGGACTCGCTTGCTCGCTTCGATATTTTCCCCAACCAGTCATTACCATTATCTACCAGAGTGTCATGAACTAAACGCTCAATGTCCTGGTAAGTTAGTGTAGGTTGTGGAGGTAGAGACTGTGACAGTGACTTTGTCATAGCATCGTGCGACTCCATTATTGCGGTTTTTAACTGCGCTTCAATGCGTTTCACGTCTACTGCTGGTTCGTGAAGGCCTGCGCTTGCTGTCCAACATCATGTAGCACATCCCGACGAATGATATCTATTCGCTAATTTACTGTGGCTTCGAGCTGTTCAGCTTGTTCC